TATATACAAATATTAACTAAATAATGGGGCAATCTAGCTCTGTCCATCTGGTATATTAGTGCCTTCTTCCAGACCGTGTCATATGCCTTCTCGATGTCTAGGATGGCCATTCCTGTTTTCTGTCTTCTTCTTATCTTCGTGTCGCTGATGACTCTTGCTAGCTGAAATCTCCAGAATGATTCTTCTTCTTTCCGCGTGTTTCATCAGTCTACGATTTTTTTCAGAAATTTTGCTAGTGTTTCCAGTAGTGATATTGGCCTGTAGCTTTCCGGTCTTATTCCATCTTTTCTTGGTTTTAGTAGAGGGATGATCTTATCGTGTTTCCAGTTACTTGGGAAGTGTCTTTTTTCCAAGCAGTACTTGAAGATATAGTACAACTGTACTATAATCTTCTTTGATAGTTTCTTGAGAGCGATACTGTGTATTCCTTCTGATCCTGAAGCTCTGCTTCCTTTTAATCTTCTAATGATTTTGGCGACTTCTGTTGGGTTGGTGTAGTCTTCTTCCTCTACTAAAAACTCGTTTCTTCTTTTGATCCTTTCGTATTCTGTGTTGACTTCCTCTATGGTTCTTGCATCCGACATGTTTTGGTTTTGGTTTTTTTCGAAGTGTGTTCCCTCGTTGTCTATGATTTGGGCCATCTTTTGCTTTCCTCTTCGTTTGGCTTTCAGCATTTTCCACACGTTTCCATGGTTTTCTTCAGTATTCCTGAAGTGTGCCATTTGTTTTCTGTAAGACTTCTGAGTCTTACTCTTATTTCTTCGGAAAGTTCGTCTCCATAGTCCTTGAATTCCTGTCTTCTTGTCCTCTGAAAGCTCTTCTGGCCCTATTTCTTTTCTTGATGATGTTCTGCAGTTCGTTTGGTATGATTAGACCTCTATTATTCCTCAATCCCTTGGGTATGTTGTCCTCCATAGCTTGTTGAATTTTTCTTGTTATTCTCTATTTTTATTTCCACTTCTTCTGTTGATTGGAATTCTCTCTCATTTCCAGTTGGTTGAGATTGACAGATATTCTTTTAGTTTTTTACTTCTTATTTGATCATGAATTGGAAATTCTTTCTTCTTCTCATGGTGCCGTCTCCTTTCGAAGGTTGGCGATCCAAATGGCAATTGTGGTTTTGGAAACTGCTGCGCGAAAGATTTCTGCGGATTTTTCTGACCATCTTTCAGGTCTTTCAGCCATGAGTTCTGGCGTCTTCCTACTGATTTTTTGTCCTGTACTTTTCCTAAATTGGAAATTCACCATCTTAATTTTTATGGTATTAGGAATTCTATTCTCTGCTAATTTTTTTTTAACCAGGAGGAGTAATTCAAATTTACCGCGCCGTAATGCTTGTTTGTAATTGGTCCAACCGCAGGCAAGTTTACTCCACTAAATTATGACATTTTGACACTAATAAATTTATAAAATTTTAAAATTCAAAGTTTATATCGACGATTTTTTGTATTTTCTGCGTTATTCCTTTAATTTTTACATTTTTACGTTTGCCTTTATATAAAAAACAGTTATTTTCAGAACTATTTAGCGACGTATTAGTGTTATTAAGATAACAATATGGATCAATGCCAAGTAATAGTGGTAATTATCCTTCTCGACCTAAACACGCAGAGTAGATTAGAGTCATTTACCATCAAATGAAAAACAATGCATTATAAACATGTACAAACAAATAGAAATTGATAATCCTGGAGTGAAAATAACAGCCATGGTAGCAAAAATTAAACAGAAAAGAGGTTAGTTTTGCAGAATAGTTATTGTTAAAATCAAGACTTACTAAAGTAATGTGCTAATTTTAGTTGTTGCTAATTCAATTATTTACAGAACAATTAAGGAATATAAGCAGACTATAACATTAAAATGTCTGTACGACAGATAGTACACAGCTTCTTTTTCAAAAATGAAATGCCCACTTTAAATAAAATTTTAAGTGAAATTAATAACCGCACAGATCTTCCAAATATGTATCGTTCATTATTATATAAATTCTTGAAGCAAATCAATTTTAAGTAATTCAATATGGGTCAGCCACAATTATATAGTAAATAAAACGTACAATCCAACAAATATATTATGTCTAGAGTTAGGGAATCAATTAGAAGATAAGAGCTTTCGCATACGTTCCAGACGATTTTCTTTTCCAATGTGATAAATGAACTCTAAAGATTCTTCAATTCTTCATAACAATCCAACATTTTTTTACTCTAATTAGAAAAACCAAAATATATATTGGAAGTGAATTGGAAATAGTATATTACTTTATGAGGCGGAGAAGCATGACTTTTCTTGACGCTCCCGATATTACGCGCCAAACGAAGTGAATTATTAAAGACAGCTTATTGTTGTTGCAACCGCAAGCGCAAATTTAGTGCGAAAATTGAAAACCTAAACGAAATTGAGTCCACGGCTAATGATGCAGTAGCACGTTTGGGGCCCTCCAAGTCCGGAATAAAGTATCGGTTAGCGTACAAGCACTTCCAAGAGTGGTGCGATACAAGAGGAGTACGGCAAGTTACCGAAAACGTTTTACTGGCATATTTTAATATAATGGAAAATGAAAATAAATGGAAATCTTCTACAATGTGGTCACGATACTCTATGATAAAATCCGAGTTAGTTATTAGAAAAAATGTGGATATAAGCAAATTTTTAAAGTTAACGTGCCTTTCTGAAAAAAAACAAGCGAAGGATATACTGCAAAGAAGTCTAAAGTTTTCACTAAAGACGAGTTTCTTCGATGCGACGAAATGGTAAAAATGAAGACTGTGGACATTGAGGATAAAGAAAATGTAATAATTATCAAAATCCCAGACAGTAAAACACGACAAATTAGATCTTTTACGATAATTGGTCAAAACTACATTAAACTGTATAAAAAGTATGCATCACTGCGGCCTGAAAATTTCACAGAAAACCGATTTTTTATCAAGTACCAAAATGGAAAGTGTTACGCGTAGATACTGATCAGGGTGCAATACATATTTAAACGATGCAAGCGCATACACGGGTCAACTCAAATGCACAAAACAAATGCTCAAAAAATTTTAAACCCTCATGATTCGCCAACATCGGGAATGATTGCTGAAAGTTGTTCTCGACCATCAGTATCATCAACAATTACCAATGCGTATCAAGAGTCGGGAACATTTTTGCACGGTTTTCAATTTTGAAAATGCCTCATTAACTAATTGTACTTTTAATATTACTATAAATAAAAATGATGTTTAATTGTTGTTAATGACATTTGTATTGTTGCTTTGTGACATGTTTCATATTGTTGCCATGACAACATTTTTTCCCTCCGCCGCGCCGTAAAGAAATGGAAAAAAAAACTGCTGCCGGCGGAGACATCAAACTTTGACAGGATCAAGTTAGATAGGTAATGTCATCATTATTTGACGTTTGAAGAAAAAATATATATTGGAAGTGAATTGGAAAAAAATATTATTCAAACATAAACAAGCAAAGTTAGGTTAGAATCGACGTGTGAGGTTGTCCGATACTGATTACTGGATTACCACAAGGCCGAGATAATCAACCAAAAAAGAAGATCTATCTGGTGACTTTTCTAGTAACTTTCTTGGGTGTGAATCTGTCTTTTTAGTTTACTCCTCCTGGTTAAAAAACAAACCATATTATCATTTAACATTTGACATATTCAGTTCTGTTGATAACTGCATCAACAATTTTTCTATTTAGCAGTTGTATTCTGATCGGTCAAAAATGCTCACTTTACTACATAGATCAAAATCTTATTTACCTGTCACTCAGATACATAATTGTGCAATATAAATAGTTTTATCAAACATCTCATATAAAATTGCAATTCATCAAATAAATATTTGTTTTAATAGTTTCCATTATACTTGAATCAGATCTAATCTAGTGATCTATTAAGATGATAAGTAATATTCTCATAATTATAGATATTAGTTTTTTTTTGAAGATGATGACTTTCAAATGTAGTATCTAAGTACTTGAGAAACTATTTTCTTGTGGTATGTTTTATACTGAATATTTCATAGTTTTTCGAAAGAAATCATCATCAGCATAATCAGTATTACAGCCCTAATTCAGCCTAAACCTTCCGTCTATTTCACCAGTCGTTTCTGTTCATCCTCATGCCAGTTTGCTGCGCCAATCTTCTTTGTGTCATCTTCTTTATCAGATATACACATCCCACCACTCTCTCAATTTCCTGGTTGTTGATCACAATAGGTGGTTTCATATCATGTTTTGTATGTGCTAAGAAGTTTTTTTTCTTAATCACCAGTAAATTTCTCTATTGGAGTAAACGAAATCCAGTTCTATGTTAAATAGTAGGGGGATAAAACTCAACCCTGTTTTACTCCGCACCACACAGATATTGGAGTTTTGGAGTCCATTTATTTTGTTGACTTTCTTAATATTCAGCCTCTTTGGTATTTGAACAAGGTAGGAATGACTCTTCTTACCTTGTGTTTTTGGTGTCACTTCTAACACCTTGGCGTTTATTCTCTGTTCATTAAGTTTTTTTTTGGTTCTCTTCAGTTGGCATGCCTTGTGCGGCACGCATAACTATCTTCTTAGTACTAGTATATAGGTAGAAGTTGGATTGTTGGTTGATAAGTTCCTCATTGAATTTGCGAAAGTGATTTTTAATATCTTTATGTTTGTTATGATTAAGACAATTGACGAATTTTTAGATAAAAAATTTCCAATATTATATGATTTTTTGTGCAACTTTTGGTTTTTAACATTTTTAATAATTTGCATAAAAAAACATCAGATTTGAGTTTTTATATATTTTTTCTATATCTATGTACTTGAGTACAATGCCTAATCATACATTTAACGAACTATATTATGGCGAATGCCAAGGAGGTCCGAATTCAAATTCCAACGAGGTGAAAATTTTATAGTTTAACAATAGTAAGGAAGATCTCCAATAAAGGAAGAACAAGGTTACCGTTTTACACAAATAGGCAATTCGAGTACGTCGTTAACTTCAAAGTATTGTCAATTATGTCAACCTTAAATCGCAATTGTACATGTATGTCAAAAGAAACAAATAATGGTGTAATTAAGCTGCAAAAAACAGAAATAATCAAGGTAAAAAATGCTAAAATATCTTAATATCATAGAATCTAGGATATGCAAATAGAAATAGAACAAATAGTAATGTTTCTTAATAGTATACTTCAATCAAGATTATTAGTGAAAAAATACAACAAATATTCAGACAGAAGTGACAATAAGACAGATTCAATTTCTGAGACTTTTTCTTCTAATTAAATGTATGGTCAGATATAGTAGTTACTTATTCAATTGGGTCATTTTTTGTCGAAAGAAATTTAACGTCAGATAGTTGGTGTAAATGTTCGGCGATATTTAGATGAGATATTTCCTGGACGATAAATTGATAGACAAGGTAGAATTGAATGGCCTCCACGTTCACCCGATTTCAATTCTAAAGATTATTTTTATTAGGGATACTTGAAAAATTCAGTTTACAAAACTTAGCCAGCAAGTCTTGCAGAGCTAAGGCAACGAATTATCAATGAATCTCGAATAATTTCTAGACAATCATGGAGAAATGTGGTAGACGCCTTCTACCATCGATTAGGGTGCTGTCAACTCACAAATTGAGCACATTTTGAACACTTAATAACGTAACTACTATGTTAAAAAATGTTCTAAACTATCAATTGTTACGTTTTAATGTATTTGAAAATAGTTAAGGTCTATTCTCATTAGACGTGCCAGGCCCGTGCTCGTCACCTGACCGGCACATGCCATGCTTTTGGTAAATATTCACACTATTCGCGCTCGTAGCATGCTTTCAGCGGTATTTTGCACAGGCAGTCGGTTAGACGTGTCGGTGGGTAGTTGTACAGTTGTAATGTTTTCTACGGCAACTTTAGTAAAAATTGCATTTATTACTTTGGATGCCGAAGAAGAAGAGAATATGAGAGATAAAGTTAAAAAATGAGGTTTTGGATACATCCAATGATTAAGGAAAGAAACATAGAAGGAGAATACTATACCTTGTATAAAGAACTCATGGATAATGAGTCAAAATTTTATATATATTATAGAATGTCAGTTGCCGAATTTCAGCAGAATTACCAGCAGAATGCGATTTTGAACAAATTGACAAAAAATTTTGGTTGTCGTAGAATTTTCCCAATGGCATTAGGAGCCCTAGATGAAAAGCACATTAAAATTATAGCACCAATCAATAGTGGTTCCAGCTACTTTAACTACAAAAAGATTTTTTCTGTAGTTCTACTTGGTTTAGTAGATATGTAGTTCGACTTGCTCTAGGAAATCACGATAAACCATTTTTGTCCTTAAAAAACTCACTCCCTCCATTTTCCGAACTCAGGTCTCCCGTAAATTATTTTTTCTTTTATTTATGTCATATCATCTTTCTTTTCCAACGAGTTTCATCCTACTATTATTTTTTTTTTGTTTAAAATATTATCGGCAGTGGTCTATTACCTAGATAAAATATAGTGTTTTATTTACCTATTTTAATATTTTCTCCAATATCCCACCATACCTGAGACTTATGTGCTGCATCTGCATACAGTCGATTCATAAAATCGTATAATTCACTTCTCATACGAACTAATTCTATTAAAAATTCATCAGTATCATGTGAAAATAATTTTGATCGCACCATTTTTCCTGTCGAAACTCGTCGAGGTATTCACACTATGTAGGACTGTGCAAGGAACGTGCCACGCACGGGCTAGGAAAATATTGTTTGAAAAGATTGTCCGATGCCGGGCGCGGACCGTTCCCACTCCAAGCACTTGTAGTGAGAACGGACCGTCGGTAAACCCATTTAAATAACGTTAAAGTAATTTTGCACGTCTCGAGCAGGGCACATGCCTGGCACATGCCTGGCACTATAGTGAGAATAGGCCTTTAGTATTAAAAAATTTATTGAAACAATTTAGGCGTTGCCAGACTTCGGTTTTATGTATTTATGACCTTACAGATTACATAAAATCATAAGTGTTACATATGGTTGAACTCGTATTGAATAGGAGATTCCAATAATGACTGAATATACAGGGTGATGTATTTGAAAAACCAAAGTTACTAATAATATAAGAAAAACGGCAAATCTGGCAACATTGTAAATATCAAATATGGAATCTCCGTATCCCAAAAATAGGTGTACAATAGTGTAAATAGGTACCTCAAATTTTGTACAATTATGATTAGCATTTTACGAGATAATTAGCCGTTTGAAGACTTTTGGGCCACTCTGTATTATAATATTATGTATTAAAATTTAGTACAATAAAATCATAAGTATTTTTTGGAACGCCACTGCTTTGTTTCGTGAGGCTTTACCGTTCCTAGAAATTTCCGCCACTACGGTGGAAACATACTCTAATAACTTCGAAAATAATTTCAAATTGTGGGGTGGTCCTAATTTTTTGGTCGGCAGTGTATATAAAATAATATTTAACTTAAACATGACACAAAAAAAGTTTCAGAACCTCATTAATAAGAATGATTTGACGATTTTTTTTATTGTAGCTAACCAAAAATACTTTATTCATTGATTTTAGAATATGGTCATTTATTATGCATTTTAATGAAGATGAGGTGTTCACGTTTTTCAATGACCTTGAAAACATTACTATCCTAAAGCATGTGGCAAATTCATTTTTTTCATTTTAAAAAGATTCAAACAATAAAGACTGCTATTTTTAGGCTGACTAATTATTAGGAGTTTATAAAAAAAATATATTAAAAAATACAAATTAAAATTTGTTAAAATGATTCAGGTAATACAATTTCTGCGCCTATATTTGTTTATTAACATCCACACACAAAATGTTTACGATTCTCCTGCTACTTTCGTGAAAAAATGTAAGGCAAACTTCGTGTGTGCGTACCATTATACTAGCGGACTTTACCTCATATTATCAATATAATTATTTGTTGATATTTTTAGAACCTGTATTTAAGAATTTAACACTTTTTACGCATTAATCAGTTATCGTAAAACTTTTGAATAAACCATTAATATTATCACTAGCTTTGTCAATTAAATTGCTAATGAGATTCTCACCAGGTAAACAGGAAATCAGTAAAATTCGGTGATTCTTGGGTGCTAGCGGTGTTAATGGTGCTGTCTAAAGTAATTTTTAATTGTTTATGATGACATTTAGCAAACTCGTAGATAAAGTAAGTACTTTTGTAAAACTTAAATCAAAGTTTACGATGACATTTTAAGTATTTACTTTAATGTATAATTTGGGATTTATGATCACCGTATTTATTAAAAGCACGTAATATTTGAACGATTGTTTGTAATATTCCTATATTATAGTAGAATCTGACGTAATGACGATCTAATAATAAACAGTCGTAAATACTGGAATAGTAGTCGCGATGTTGTATACAATATTCCAATAAATAAAATAAGAATGTAAATATTAATAGAAATCTCGATTTTATTCTAAAATATGTAGTACCATGGGCGCCGGCAGCGGAATACAAGGGGGAGAAATTGCACTCCTTTTCGACCGATACATAAATACATGTGTACTCTATGTGGCTAAAATATGTGGCTATTTGACGACAATAATGAAGTGTGTAGGCTAAAACGTCTTAAATCAAATAATCTACCAAACAGATTTAATCAAAATCAATTTTAAGCAAAATCAACTGTTTTTTACATTATATCTTAATCATGTGACATGTAATTGTGTTTGTTTTATTTTATTGCTTTTAACTTACATACTCTTTAATTAAACTACTTATAATAAATTTATTAGCAACCTTTATAGTTGCGACATAAAGAAAAGGAACTCTCCACTTGAAGAGGCTCCCACGCGCTATGTAAACAAACAAATTACTTATTTGAATCAAATAAAAGGCAGATATAAAAAGCTGTGCTCGATATCTGCCTTTATTTGATTAAAGTTCGATTAAAGTTTATTCGAGCATTCAACCATATATCACTTTAAATTACTTATTATTTTTTATTTTTGATAGAGGTGTAATTTTAACTGGACTTAATAAAAAAAAGAACTTTTTCTCGCAGTCTTCCAGATCTCTGCCACTCATATCATTGCTGTCATTTTTTGCCAGAATTGTATTTGTTCTTTATCCATTCTGTTTCTGTTTACTTACATGTCAATATCGTATTCTAAATTTCTATATATTGTGGCATGTAAGAAGCTTTCATGCCAGAATTCATTCTTTTTCCTCTTCGAGAATTAAAAGAATTTTGTAAATGTTTAGGATTTACTTTTCTTTGGTCGTAACATGCATGTGTAGGATTTGGAGAAACTAGTAAATTTCATTTAAATTGTTAATATTCCCTGTGCTGTTAAGGAGGAATTATTAAGAAATATGTAAGGCATTTCCAAGAACTATATCCTGAATGTCTTATCATTACTATGAAAATGAAGAATATTGGTATTGTTATAATCCACCGAATGCCCTGTAGTAAGGTTTTTGTCCAAGGAACAACGATCTGGATGAAGCCTTAAACCATTTTTGTGAATACTGATCCTGGATTTGGGGCACTGTGAAGTTTGACCAATATAAGAATTCTTACACGATAAACAAGGAATGTTAAAGTCAAAATTCCTAAGCTTGTTTTTAGATGTTTTAGCTTGTTTTTAGGTCTATCATTTTAGAAAAAAATACTATTTATGGTCAAGGCTGATTTATAAGTAATTTTCAATAAAAAAAACTTACAAAGAAGTAAAAACTTCTGATGTATGATGGTATATTTATTTAAAATATTTAAAATTTATCCAAAATTTACAAATATCTTCAAAACGTTTTCGGTTCAGTCAAACCATCATCAGTAAAACATCTTGAGAGTAGTTGTAACTAGGTACCAGTCTAGGTGTAAAAGATGGCTACTATACTTGCTTGAAAGCTATGAGATTCGTTGCTAGTTTTTACTACTCTCAAGATGTTACACATTTGTTGGTCCCACTAGATCGAACATTTTGAAGATATTTGTAATCCTTTTGGATAAATATACCATCCTACATCAAAAGTCTTTACTTTTTTGTAAGTTTAGTCGTTTTTGACTTGACTTGACTTAACCATTTGAATTTTCTGTTTTAATTTGTAATTTTCAAAATGTTCTATTATTGATATTAATAAATGTCTAAGAATTCTGGTTAGCCCTCAAGTAGTGTCTTTAACATAAGGTAGCGAACAATACTTTATTACCACAAGCCTATCAGTGATAGAACAATCCGAATTAACATTTTTAGTTTCAAAAGATGTTAAGTTAGGTGTATGGTTATAAACAAAATTTTATCGAATAACAGATGATATAGGAATTGTTTATGCATATATTCCGAAAACTCTTTTCTTATTTCATGTACAGTGTTGCCGTTATCTATATTTATATGGCTTTTCTTTGATTTCTAGGTACGTGGTCATAGCAGAAATGCTAGCGACTCCAGCCAATTCATCGAAGCCACCAAACGAGACGCTCTCAACAGATTACAAAAAGAATTAGAGAAAATAGTCCAAAGCAGCGAACCTAGCAAAGTAGCAGAGAACAAAAAACAGTTAGATGGCTTCACGAAACTATTCACGAGGTTCCTCGATGAAACAGGACCTTCAGTCAACTGGGAGAAGATCGAGAAATTGCCTGGAGATGCTGTTAGAGATTATAAAACCTTAGAACAACCAACTTCAGACTTAGTGCACCAAATGTTAAACAAACTGGTCGTGGTAAAGCTGAATGGAGGTTTGGGTACCTCGATGGGTTGCCATGGACCCAAGTCTGTGATTACTGTCAGAAATGATCTCACGTTTTTGGACTTGACAGTACAACAGATTGAGGTGAGTAAAACTATAAACATTTTATTTTTAGTATATGATATTTTTTAATTATTTTTAGACTCTTAACAAAACCTACAAAGTTAACGTTCCTCTAGTACTAATGAACTCTTTCAACACGGATGATGACACAGAAAAAATCATAAGAAAATACAGAAACTTGCAAGTAGAAATTCACATGTTCAACCAGTCGTGCTACCCTCGAGTCAACAGAGACTCACTTCTACCAGTTCCTAAAGATGCCAAAGTAAACAACAATTTGGAAGCCTGGTACCCTCCAGGTCACGGAGATTTCTACAACAGCTTCCAAGACTCTGGACTATTACAAAAGTTCTTAAAAGAAGGACGGGAGTACTGTTTCCTATCGAATATTGATAATTTAGGAGCTACCGTAGATTTAAGTATTTTGAATTTGTTACTCAACCCTAACCAAGAACAGGCACAACATGAGTTTGTTATGGAAGTAACCGATAAGACTAGAGCTGATGTTAAGGTAAGTTGGAATAGTGTATATATTATTTCACATAGAATTAACAAATTATAGTATTTAATAACTGAACCTTATTTTTTTATATTATTTCCTCGGCCAATTTCCTTTTTAAGCATTCCCAGACATTTTCGATGGGGTTCGTGTCTGGTGAGTTGCCGGGCCGTGCTAATACAGGAATTACTTGACTATATGACCTATCGTCGGAGTCCGATGAGTCCGACAAGGCGATATAATTTCACCTAAACTGTTTACCTTGACCCTCGAAGACATAATAAAAATCAACAGATTGGGAAAACCGAGGAATATGTATTAACGGAAAATACCTAAATCACCTTAGATATGCGGATGATATACTCCTGATCTCCTCGGAATGACAAGAACTGGAATTAATGCTGAATGAACTTCATGAAAAATCACTGCAAAAAGGCCTAAAAATTAACTTCAACAAAACAAAAGTAATGACAAACACGGAAGACCAAGAGGCAATAAAAATAAAAACAGAAAAAATAGAACAGGTAAATGAGTATATCTATCTAGGACAAGCAATCAGAGCTAACAGAGAAAATCAAACAGCCGAAATATCGAGACGAGTAAGAATGGGATGGGCAGCGTTCGGCAAACTTTCTTACGTTTTAAAAAATCAAACAATCCCTCTATACTTACGAAGCAAGATATATAACTCCTGCATAATACCGGTGCTCACCTACGGAGCACAGACATGGACATTTACACAGGCCAATTTGGATAGGATAAGGAAGGCACAAAGAGCGATGGAGAGACAAATGTTGGGTGTATCACTTAGAGATAGAAAACGTAACCAGTGGATCAGAACCAGAACAAAGACAGTAGACGCGATAGAACAAGCAGCAAAACTGAAATGGAAATGGGCTGGACACAATGAACGTCTCCAAGACGGACGATGGAACAATGCCAACGGAAAGTGGCGTCCATACAATGCAAAGAGATCAAGAGGCAGACCACAGATGAGGTGGAGAGATGACATCAGGAAACAAGGAGGTCCCACATGGCAGAGAACAGCTCAAGATAGGGAAAGATGGAGAGAACTGGGGGAGACCTATATCCAACAATGGAAGGATAGAGAATAGGTTCAAAAAAAAAAATGACCTATCAAAACACTTTTAATAAATGTAGCCGTATGGCAATGTGTTCTATCATGCATAAAGACATATGACATTTGTTAATTTCTAGGACCAAAATTGTCTACAAGACTCTTTTATACTGGTTTTGTCACATGGTACCTTCTATCACATATAAGCATCCCATTCCTTTGCCACTGAGGAGGGATGGTTAATTGTTTTTATTAAATATCCCTTTTCATATTTTCCCCTGGATGTCTTTGTACAAGTTGGGCCTTATCATCCATAATTTGAAATGTTGCTTAATGAAAAAAAAAACTGATTTGTATTTACTTATATTTTGCCAATCATGAATAGTCCAGTCTTTATGCAAATTTGTCCAAACTAAGCGTTTTTTCATTTCAGCATTTCAGTTTTTACAATTTCAGAAGATCTTGAAAAATCTTGTTGCCTTTGTTTCGGCTCGAACCAATTGCTCACTAGACTTACTAGAAGTAAGTTGACCAATCCTCTGAGCTATCGAGACGTCATTAATGCTTTTATATGCACGTCATTTCGCTATTGGTTTAATACTTTTGTTTAAAATGTATTTTGGAGTATCGGCAGTAATCAGTACTATTGTACATTTTAGGGTGGTACTCTAATCCAATATGGAGGGAAATTAAGACTGCTTGAAATCGCACAAGTACCCAAAGAGCACGTAGACGAATTCAAATCTGTCAAAACCTTCAAATTCTTCAATACCAATAACTTGTGGGTTAAATTAGATGGTAAGTACATTTTTTAGAGTTTTATTATTAATATTCGCTGAGTAGCTTGTATATGAGTTGAAATGTGAAATGATCATTTGACTAGCGCCCTCTACTGAGCGACTACGAACTCCCCCATTTTAATGGGTTCAGTTTTATAGTAGGATTAAAGGCGACTATGAACTACCCACGCTATCTAGGTACTTAGATAATATTTTTGTGAACATATATAGTTTTTATTTTACTTTATTGTATTCAAAAAGAAACCCAATTCCCACAGCATGAACAAAAATTTTAAATGATTAAATAATGAAACTATATCAATATAATCGAATAAAGTTTATTTATAAATCTACATTAACTTATATACAATAACAAAAAACTACAGTTAAAGAATAACAATGCTTAATTCTAATGTCTGATTAGTGATTAAAATAAGTAAGAGTGATCACTACATTTTGAATTTTAAAAGTTAGCTGCATAATAATTGCAAACTGACTTTAAACTGAATGAAGTCAATTTAGTAATGTTTTTATTAACGTAATATTCATTTAGCCTATTTTTAATAAAATCAACTTTTCTTTTTGCCGTTTTATCAAGTTTTTTTTTTCGAATCTATGTTCAGTTCTCATTTTCACATATGCTTCTGCTTGAAAATTTAACAGAATGTCTGTAAAGTTAAGTATGTCAGGATGTGATTTATAAAAACATTCGTTAAATTTCTAGTGAAATGATTCACAATGCATTTGTAGTAAATATAAGAGATGATGAATTTAAAACCTACATGTAAGGTGGAAATGTTGACTCTTGCGTTAAATAATTATCAACTAGGTAATCACAAAATTGCAAAACTCTGTTATTTTCTGGCATAATATTAAAAAGTTCATTAGAAAAAAGTCACCAACATCATTTGGATCTAAATAAGAAATGTCGAAAAACAAGTTTAAATATTTTCCAATAACAGTTTGATATTGTTATTTCAAAATCAGAAATTATTCGCTTCGGTTTGAAATTTAAATTCAAATCTGTACATATTGTTATTAATGTATCAAAAGTACTTTTGTACGATTGCTGTGATATATTTGTTAACAAACAAAATACTAGAGGAACATAAAAACCATTTTTGTAGCCATTTCCTTTAAGAAATTCTTGTGATTTAAAATTGGACTAAAGCACTGCAAACAAACACAGATTCGTCTCACTCAAGCTGCAAAATGGGTTTTAAATGACTAGGAAAACAAATAGACGATTCTTTGGAAGTTGGGCACTGGTTTCGGGCCTCGGATTTTCTTGTTGAAATCTTCAAAAACTTGGCCACTTAAGTTCTTGCTTGAAACCATGTGGACCTCTTAAATTGTTGTAACGCTGTTTTACAAATCTCCCCACATTGGACACAACACAATCAACAAATCGGTGATTAATTTAACAAAACTGCCACATTGCCTTTGATTAAATTCACCTCTCCACAATAGAAATTTTGCCGGCTTTTTTAGATATTACTTTAGAGTAATATATTATTTTAAGTTGTTTTTCTCCCATTTGGTATCCCATTTTAGTTCTTACTTTTTTTATTATTTCATCCATAATCAGGTTGAACAATAGATGACTCAGGAAATCTCCATGTCTTATTCCATTGCCAGCTTCAATAGGGTCAGTTGGTTCTTCTACTTTTACTTTTATTGTGTTGTTTTGATAGATAGTTTCCATCGTTTTTATTATACCTAAAGGTATCTCTCTTGCGTACAGTAAGTGGATAACTTCCTTTAATTTGACCTGGTCCAATGCCTTCTTAAGGATGCCGGTCTAATGATTTCTCTTGCATTTGTCTCTTATCGACCTAAAACCTTGTTCTTCTGTTAGTATTATAATTTCATTCAGTATACTTGATATCACTTTGGTTGTTAATTTTGGTGTTGTGTATAATAAATTAATTCCTCTGTAATTTAGGGGGGAAAACTTACACGCAGAAAATGAAAATGAACAAAACTAGACAACATATTACACTGTTGTGCAACACATTGAGAATATGCAGTTGACGTTATACAATCAATGTATAAGAAAGGAAAAATACGTAATACCAAAATTATAAGTCAGTTACGTTGTTAAATGCTGATACAGCCAGTTTCAGATTGAATCTTAATTTTTGAACGTAAGACAACGGAGGAGAAGGTCACAAAAGAGATCTGAGTGACACGACAACCGAGACTCATCCAGGGTTTTAATGCCAAAAGAAGAAGAAATGATTCATATAAATCAAGATTTTTATTGGATTTAGTGAATATCACGCATTCCAAATTTTAACTACACATTTAGTTTGTGTACTATGTATTAATTGTGTTTATTAATCACAATTGTATCTATTAATAGTATGGATATATTTTTCTGCCATTTTTTTATCTATCGATGTTAAATGTCAGAGTCGGCTAAGGTCAATGTTAGATACACAAAAATGTTTTTATTATTCAACATTCTTTGATAAGTTTCATTGAAGTATTTTCTGAAGTACATTTAAATCACATGAAATATTTTTCAATCGATCTAATAATATTAATTTCGCATAAACACCTTGTGAGATTTAAAAAGATAAAATTATGCTTCACCTGACACCACTGTAAATAATGTACGATTTTTAAGGAGTTGAACGTGCTCATTGATACTTGCCCATGAAAATTGCTGCTTTCGTTTTTGTAGACTCTAATATATGATGTTCAAGATTGGAGACATAAGAGAGAATTGATTTGAAGTAAGACAGGATCGATGTCTCTAATTAGATACGTTATGAGAAATTAAAGTTAAATGCGATAGGTTTTACTACATATTGGGGGTGAAGTGATCGTTAGTCGTCTTTCAAATCAATACAGAAATGGAGCATTTAAACAAAAATCGAGTATATTAGAAACAACTCACATTCTATTTTACAGTAAAACTATTATAATGTATGTAGTTACTGCTAATGCATACTGCTTATTAACCGAATGATAGAATAGACACTTGTCAGATAGACAGATGACAGAGGAGATAGAGTAGGTATTAGGAAAAACATAGTTTTTTAACTTCTAACTGTTTCCCACACAAGTGATAGCTTACAAAAGGTGCAATCTAGTTTGATGGCCATTAATGAAAACAATTTATTAACATATGAACAAACAACAACTTAGGCAAATATATTAAAAACAACAAGAGCCAAAATAAAAGGTGATACACACAGTGGTGTACAAAATTAAATGTGGCGACTACTCAAAAACTTACATCGGTCAAACTAGTAAAACTTTTAACAAACGTATTGCAGAACACAAAAAGTGCTTTCAATAATAGAAAAACAGATTCTACATACGCACTTCACCTTGTAGATCATAATCATTCTTTTAATGACGAATTTTAAATTCTTCACATCCAAAAAGTCTTAAGGTATCTTTATTATAACCTATGGAAAATAACAAATTAAAAAATACAGACAGAATTCTGAATGACGAACTTGAGACAAACAGTTCTCCCCTCCTCAACCTATTCAGTTAAGACTATAAAGTGTAAACATATACCAAAAATAGATCACTTGAGAAAGACACTCTGTCGAAACAGCGGTAGTTATAAGATATTATAATACATTTTTGAAAACAAAGTTTTCAGTGTTTTATTGTTATATAAAATGAATTTCCATCAGTCGAATCCATCACTAATTTATTAACACTTTCGCTGCGCAAGCCGCTATATGCCGTCTTTCTTATTTTTCAATTTGTGCGGACGGTGCCATTTGGCGTTATGCGCATATTGCATATGCATTCCACACAGGAGAACGTACTGAAATAAAGTTCCGCAGCCAAAGTGACTTGTTTTCTATCCTTTGCCCTATATCTGTAAAAGTTTACATTTTTAGCAAAATCTTGCTATCGCTTTGACATTTTTAAGGCAGTATATAGCGTGTGAGCACGATTGGTCAGTCTTTGCGTTTGAATTGGTAACACAGCGGTGTGACATCATTTCAGCCTTTCATGGTCTCATCAGACGCTGGGACTGAATTGTCTGCTAGCTGTTTCCAGTTAAATGAATGCGTGAAAAACATAAGTGTGTTGGTCTTCGTGTTTACTTTTGTATTCAGTTCCAGCGTCTGATGATGATTTGGTATAGCACAACGGACCGAAAACAGTATTAATAAGACTGTATTTATCTACTGTACATATCTACAGATCTGTTATCTGGGTACGATTGCCTTAAAAACAGCCGTTCTGGTCAGGGGTAAACATGCAGATATTGTCGCACTGAAACGAATAATTTATTATTTATCAATAAGTTGTAGTTGAGTGACTTTTTTAACTTATTTCTTATTTCTAGCCATCGACAGGGTACTCAAAGAAGATTTGTTGAGCATGGAAATTATCGTAAACAACAAAAGTTTAGACAACGGCCAAAACGTAATCCAGCTGGAAACAGCTGTAGGTGCAGCCATGAAATCATTCGAAGGTGGTATCGGTATCAACGTACCAAGAAGCAGATTCTTGCCCGTCAAGAAAACGTCCGATTTGTTCCTCGTCATGAGTAACTTATATACTTTCAAAAACGGTTCATTGACCATGTCACCGCAGAGGATGTTCCCTACTACACCTTTGGTAAAGTTGGGCGACAACCACTTCTCCAAAGTTCAGCAGTTCCTTGCCAGGTTCGCCAACATTCCGGATATTTTGGAGTTGGACCATCTGACGGTTTCTGGTGATGTTACGTTTGGTAAAGGAGTATCTTTAAGGGTAAGTTTACAGGATTTATTGTTTCATGAACAAATTAAAACAAATTATTCATTTTTAATTTGAAACTCGTTATAACAAATGCTTTATGTGATTTTCATAAAAAAATAATTCATATATACATAAAAAAACTTGGATGGAAATTGGCACAATTTTTAATAAAATCAATTGTAATACAGACTTTCGTCAATATTTTTCTAATTTGTCATAATTTTTACCATCGCTGCTCATTCCGTCACGGGATATTGCCGTGACATCTCCATTTTCTTTCTTATACAGGCTTAACCATGAATTATTTTTCTACTTTTAATTTCCTTCTTCAGTATATTCCAGATCAGTATATATTTTTATTTATCTTCCCCAATGTCACTACATCACCACTTCTATTCGCACTTACCATATTTCGTTTCGATTTGATGCATTCCTTTGCTTAGTGCTTCGATATCGTTCCAATAAGAAGCCTTTTAAGTCTCTAACTCACCGAATAAGAAATATCTCATTACAATAACAGCTACTTCATTAAAGACATCCTCATTTCCATACAACTCGCTTATATTCCGCTGAAATACCCTTTTCAGTCTCCTCAAACCTTCTATTTTTATCGTCTATCCTCGTTTAAACATTCTTTCTGTTTAATTTCCTGACCTTCAGCTACCCTCTCAAGCACTTTCTCCTTTCCAAATCTCCATCCTCTTACTCTCTCCTTTCCAACCGAGGAGAGACCATTGTCAGGAGAAAAATAACAAATATATAATAAGTATCTTTTTTTAGGGCACAGTCATCATTATTGCCAACCACGGTGACAGAATCGACATACCTGCCGGTGCCATTTTGGAAAACAAAATAGTTTCAGGAAATATGAGAATATTGGATCATTAAACAGCCATAGAAAACGAGAGTACTTAAACGATTTAGAACCTATAAGATTCTGAATTAAGATTGTTATTTAATGTCATAAAATATTTAAATGAGATTGAAAAGATTGAAGAACGACTTCTAAAAATTTATACTATATTTTTGTTGTTATTTTTGGTAACTACTTTGTTATGAACATTGTTGTTTTTATTTACAATGCACAAAATTTATATCTTAAAAAATGTATATTTTCTCATGTTTTGTTGTATAATAAAAATCTCGTGATGTGAATTGATTTATATCTCAAAGATACCTTCTCACATAACGAATGTCAAAATTGGATGATATACTGCTCACATGATGAAGATATCATTTAAAATTTTAAATAACATTTTTGACTGAATTTCCTTGATTTACCTTATAGTTTTGAAGATCTATGTCAAACATATGTTCTTCTTACCACTGTTTATGTAGTTTCTCTTCTCCTTTATTTTGCCTACACTTCGTTTGACCATCACCAGGTCTTTTTATTTTCAAACGCCTTTCCTGAGGTTTATCCAAAGTAATAGCAGTACCTCCAATACTTTACTTTATCGTGTCAGTACATGTCATTCATAAAATTTCGGCCCAGTATCAGGCTATGTCGATTCCATCTTTGTTGGCGAGCCACAAATCTTCGAGGGTATATTGATGAGGACAGTTTCTGCATGTAAGAAGATGTTCCATATTTTGTGTTTCACCACAGTCACAGTTCAGTCACCGTTCTTATTCTATTTATAATTTTCCACATTTTAAAGTCTAGGGACTGGTCGGTCTATTGAATCTGGGGAAGAGGAAAATACTCAAGCGGTTCATCCTGCACTGTTCCAAGGTAGCTTTTCCTAGATTTTAGTCGTTTTCGTGGCGTTCGAGCTTTGTGTAGGGCGTGCCGCTCGTCCGCGATCTGTTTAATTTTCTCTGTGTGCTCTGCAACTCCTCTGCGTGTTGAGGATTCTGCAAAACCCACTGCTTTATATAGATTTGAGAGTGACATTGGTTTCATGCACCCCGTTACTATCATGCATGTCTCATTTAGCACAGTATCAACTTGTTTGGTGTGGGCAGATATGCCCAAACAGGGCATGCAGATTCAGCAATTGAGAAATTAAATTCAGCAAGTTAAATATGAAGATACTCTATCCAACTACCACCAAATAAAATCTGGAGTACCTCAAGGCAGTGTACTTGGCCCATTTCTTTACCAAATCTTCACTGCTGATATTCCTATTAGCGAAAATACACCAATGGCAACATTTGCGGATGACACTGGTACACCAGCATCAGATATCAATGAAATATTAGCGTTTAACAAATTGCAAAATCATCTAAATGAACTAGAAGACCGGCTTAAATGCTGGAAAATAAATGTCGACACAAACAAGTCTTGTCAAGTAAATTTCACAAATCGAAGAATTAGATGTCCACAAATACACCTAAATAATTCTCCTATACCAATAAAAACAGAAGTAAAGTACCTCGGCCTTCATCTAGACGAAACACTTACTTGGAAATCACATATTGCAGCCAAACGATGACACCTCGACCTAAAAGTTAAAAATATGAGCTGGCTAATCAACATAAGATTGCAACTTTCATTAGAAAACAAATAAAACAATACTCAAACCAGTGTGGACATACGGAATTGAGCTGTGGGGCTGTGGCAAACCATCCAACACCACAATACTGCAGACATTCCAGTCAAAAACTATTCATATGTTAGCTAAAGCCCCATGGTATGTGTCAAACCAAACCCTGCATGCAGACCTCAACATCCCCTTCATCAATGATGTGATTGCTGACCACTCCAGAAGATACATCAATCGCAGCGCAGACCATCCAAACCATCTCATAGATGAATTATTCAACCCCCCACTGGTTGACAGATGTCTAAAAAGCCAGATGGCCAGAAAGCCAAAAACGTACATCATATTTACTTATTACTGTATTGAAGTAGATTTTAAATTAGCAATAAATAATATAAATAAAAAATAATTGTCTAAAACTAATTTTTGATAATGAAGAAGAACTAATCTAAATTGGCAAAAAAATTTAATAACACATTTTTATAGTAAACATTTAGTTTTACAAATCTAAAATATCTAACTACTTATTCATTTTAAGCCAAACTAAGTTTCTCTCCCTCTTTATTTTGTTCAATAACTTTAGTTTCAGATGTTTTGTCTTCTGTAACCTGACTTTCTTCAATTGGTTCAACAATCTTCTTAAATGTTAATGATGAAGGTTCTCTAGGAGGAAGCCAATCAGGAATTATCTTTGCATGGACTCTCCAGGTACCATATTGATTGGAGAGGTGTTTTTCAAATACTACATATTCAAGAACATCTTTGGCAATAATTTCACTACCATGCATAAGCCTTCCAAATCTATCATATATGGCCAATGCCTAAAACAAATGATATATGTAGGAATGTAATAATTATTTAAATAAACAAGCTATTTTGAAAAATACATCCTAAGATGCACAACAACAAATATATTTTATTATCATCAATATTTCACTCGTTTTCATTTACCTCTGTATCTATTTTGTGTACATCAAACCACAAACCCTTTAAATTGGTGCAAAAGGAATCAAGATATATTATTGTGAATAAATACAAACAAAAAGAAAAAAATTGTAAACTCTAAGTAAAATTTAGGAAGTAGTATCACAACAAAATCAAACAGTCTACAATTTTACCTGTTGAGTATGGAACCTCACTGTGATTTGAGCAAAAATGTTCTCTTTTGATACAACATCAGTACATCTCGCCTGTACAACTCTTGGCAGTTCTAATTCTTTAATGTATCTCCATCGAAGAGTCTTGTTTTTAATATTGTGGATCACTTCAGGGTATGCTCTCTCTGTGACATAGTCTATAAGATTTTCTTTATATTCAGAAGCTAAAATCTCATGCATTTTGATATAAATCTTTTCAGCTTCTTTACAAAACTGTGGTGTGTCGAATTCTTCCTCAAACTGACGAACTTTCCTTATTGCCATCATTGTAGTTGTTTTCTTTTGCAAAAATTGCACACTCTGCATAGCTCCCTACAATTTAAACAAAAATCATAACTAATGATGTTTAAGACTAAGAACACTCACTTTTTTATCAATGTAGAACCTGAATTACCACCACTAGTGCTTAAAGTTCTTTGAATTATTTCTCTTTCTATGCGAATTATGAAAAAAGTAACCAAAAATGAATGTAGAAAAGAAAAAATACTAAAAAACTGATTACCATTGCTATAAATTTCATCTCCGTAATAATTTTTCCGGCTTATTACACTAGTACCATAATTATTTTTAATTCTTTACAGAGAAGCGACAGAAAAAAATCTTTAGATTATTAGCCTACAGATATAGCATATAAGCACTACATTCTTAGAGTAAAACAAGTCGCATAATATTATACCTGTTTAGATACTGGTGAAACTTTCCCATCACCTTCAGGTGGTACATATGGCTCAAAAACGGCACCAGTTGAGTGAATAAAATACTGCCTTTCAATCCAAGGACGGGGAGGCAGGATGCCTTGCTCTTTTAATCTTTTAACTACTTCTTCATCTGGTAAATCTTCTACTCTTTCTTGGAATTTAGGCAATTCCACTGGCATAACTTTTAAACGACGGAAGAGTTTCCATTTAGGATTCCAATGTTTCGTTCTTCTATGTCTAACTATTTGTGTATTAGCACTAATTGCTGCTGGGGCCATAAAACTATGACATACATCCTAAAATTAATTGTAAGTATCTCCTTTTTTACATATAATAAGTACTTACCTGAAGTAAACGTAAACCTAGTGTGTTAGTAATTCTAAGAGTCATTTTATTGTTATTTAACTATATTAAAAATTATTTTTTATAACATCATTTGAAAATTATAACCTAAATTAATCTTCTACTTCTTCTGTCATAGACTTGACAATTTATACTTTTTGCTTTGCCATAGGCAATTTCCACTAAATTTGACTAAGAATAAAGATATATTTTAAGATAACTTCAAAATTTATAATATACAATGTAGCATCCAATTAATATATTGTTGATTATCTAAATCTTGAATGACCTACATAGCTCAGTAACTGGTCTGAAAGAAGATATTAATTTTTAGGTTATTTTGTTTACTATCAAATCGTTGTCAAAACGAATTTAATAGGGCTAGGACTTTTAAAGAAAGTAATGCTTAGTAAAACATGGCAGCAGCACCACCACAGGCTTTAGTGAACAGGAATAAGAAACATTTCTTAGGTGTACCAGCTCCTTTGGGATATGTAGCTGGTGTAGGAAGAGGAGCTACAGGTTTCACCACTCGTTCTGATATCGGTCCTGCTAGGGATGCTAACGATGTTTCGGACGATAGACACGCTCCACCAGCAGCTAAAAGAACCAAAAAGAAAGACGAGGAAGAAGAAAAGGAAGAGGTAGGTAGATAATCATCTCCATAAAATATATCCATACACTGTAAGATGCTGGCAAACACAGCGTTGCTTAAAGTCATTTATGCTTCAAATATTAGTAAAATAACTATTTTTTAGGAAGAAGATTTAAATGATTCCAATTATGATGAATTCAGTGGCTACGGTGGATCATTATTTTCAAAAGATCCTTATGACAAAGATGATGCCGAAGCTGATGCTATTTATGAAGCTATTGATAAACGAATGGATGAAAAAAGGAAAGGAGTATAGAGAAAAGCGTTTAAGAGAAGAATTGGAGAAGTATCGACAAGAAAGGCCAAAAATTCAGCAGCAGTTTTCTGATTTAAAGAGAGATTTAGCACAGGTTGGTACTTTAGGACATAGGCACAGTCAGAAAAACTATTTTCTTGTGACCTTTTATTAAATATCTTATTGATAATAAAATATAATTAACGATATATTTATCATGTTTCAAAATATAATTTATATAAAATATATATAATAAAATATGTTTTATGTTAGTTAGTCTAGTGTTTATAGAGTTGGTAGAGTTTTTATATAGTTGTGTATGTTTCTAGGTTACAGAGGATGAATGGAAGACAGTACCAGAAGTTGGCGATGCCAGAAATAAAAAGCAACGTAATCCTAGGGCAGAAAAGTTTACCCCCCTACCAGATAGCGTAATATCTAACAATTTAGGAAGAGAGTCAACTACATCTATAGATCCCAATTCTGGTTTAGCTAGTATGGTTCCAGGAGTACAAACACCTGGTATGCTGACACCCACAGGTGACATGGATCTGCGCAAAATTGGTCAAGCAAGAAACACTCTAATGAATGTTAAACTTTCACAAGTATCTGACTCTGTAACTGGTCAAACAGTTGTTGATCCTAAGGGATACCTTACTGATTTACAGTCTATGATACCTACATATGGAGGTGATATTAATGACATCAAGAAAGCTAGACTATTGTTAAAATCAGTCAGAGAAACTAACCCAAATCATCCACCTGCTTGGATTGCCAGTGCTAGGCTAGAAGAGGTTACAGGTAATTTTAACATATTTTGTTTTTTGTCTATTAATACCTAAACATATTTAATTGGGCTTTCTTAAAATTTTTATTATTTTAGGCAAAGTTCAAGCAGCTAGAAACCTTATAATGAAAGGTTGTGAGGTAAATCCCCAAAGCGAAGACTTATGGCTTGAAGCAGCTAGACTAAATCCACCTGATACTGCCAAAGCCATAATAGCTCAAGCAGCCCGTCACATACCTACATCTGTGAGAATATGGATTAAAGCAGCTGATCTAGAATCAGAAACTAAGGCCAAGAGAAGAGTCTATAGAAAAGCATTGGAACATATTCCGAATTCGGTACGTTTGTGGAAAGCTGCTGTTGAACTGGAAAATCCAGAAGATGCTAGAATCCTACTTTCTAGGGCTGTGGAATGTTGCCCCTCGGCAGTTGAACTGTGGTTGGCACTAGCAAGGCTAGAAACATATGAAAATGCGAGGAAAGTGCTGAATAAAGCTAGAGAAAACATTCCAACAGATAAACAAATTTGGACTACTGCTGCGAAATTAGAGGAAGCGAATGGTAACCAAAATATGGTGGAGAAGATCATAGAGCGAGCTATTACTTCGCTTAGTTCAAATGGCGTGGAGATCAACAGGGAACAATGGTTTAAAGAAGCAATTGAAAGTGAAAAAGGAGGGCATATTCATTGTTGTCGCGCTATCATTAAAGCGATCATTAGCTATGGAGTGGAAACTGAAGATCAAAAACACACTTGGATGGAAGATGCTGAAAACTGTATCAATCAGACCGCTTTTGAGTGTGCTAGAAGTGTTTACAATATTGCTTTAGCCACATTCCCTGGTAAGAAGTCAATATGGTTGCGAGCTGCCTATCTGGAGAAAAGCCACGGTACCAGAGAGAGTCTGGAAAGTCTTCTGCAAAGAGCAGTAGCCCATTGTCCAAAGAGTGAGGTCTTGTGGTTGATGGGAGCCAAGAGCAAGTGGTTAGCAGGTAAGTGTTTTATGTTTTTTTTAAGTATTCTTTATATAGAATGGCACACCAAATAGGGTGGACCATCTTGATATTTGACAATATTTTGTTTCATTAGTTAATTAAAATGCTGGAACAGCTTAAAGAGGCACTTCCATGATCTTTCTTTCCATGTTAACTCCATATTTGGGAAAATTAATTTCTTGAAAGTATTACACTTTTAAAAAAATTAATGCAATGTCTATGTTTTGCTAATATGTCAAGATTTTGTGAAAATGCTAAAATAGTTTAAAAACTGTTTGGTTAGGTTTTGAAATCGCTGGTTCATTCATTACAATAATAAATAATTGAATAACATAGAATTTAATGTTATTGTAACAATAGTTCTTGAGAGTGTATTAAAACAATGATTTTTTTTTAAATTGGGACTGAAGATATTCTATTTAAAATTAGTGAGGTGTGTAATGATTTTTACATAATCTAACGAATATTGACAAATCTTAGAATGGACTGTTTTCAGTGGTCCATCTTTATACATACATTTATTCATCTGTAAATTTATGTAAATCTATAGGTGATTTTATTTGCTCACATTATATTATTTTTGTAGGTGACGTGCCGGCAGCTAGAGGAATCCTGTCTCTAGCTTTCCAGGCTAATCCCAATAGCGAAGAGATCTGGCTTGCGGCAGTGAAGTTGGAATCCGAAAATAAAGAATACGAAAGAGCCAGGAGATTGCTAGCGAAGGCCAGAGGATCAGCTCCGACACCTCGTGTCATGATGAAGAGCGCAAAATTGGAATGGTCTCTTAATGACTTGGACGGAGCTCTCCATTTATTAGACGAAGCACTAAAAGCGTTCGGAGATTACTCGAAATTATGGATGATGGTTGGGCAAATTCAAGAGGAGAAAAGAGATTTGTCAAAAGCGTTTGATGCCTACAATGCAGGAATTAAAAAGTGTCCGAACTCTATTCCTCTTTGGATCTTGCTGTCGAGATTAGAAGAAAAGAGAGGACTTCTTACCAAGGCTAGATCAGTTTTGGAAAAAGCAAGGTTAAGAAACCCTAAGAACGATCAACTCTGGCTGGAAGCTATCAGGGTAGAAATGAGAGCTGGTATAAAAGACATTGCTAACGCTATGATGGCCAAAGCAATCCAAGAGTGTCCAACGTCTGGAATTTTATGGTCTGAAAGTATATTCATGGAACCCAGACCTCAACGCAAAACAAAATCCGTGGACGCGTTGAAGAAATGTGAACACGATCCACACGTGCTGCTCGCTGTCAGTAAACTCTTCTGGTCTGAAAGGAAGATTAGTAAATGTAGAGAATGGTTCCAGAGGACTTTAAAGATCGAGCCCGATTTAGGAGACGCTTGGGCTTACTGGTACCGGTTCGAGCAATTGCACGGAACCAAAGAACAACAAGAAGAGGCAAAACAGAGGTGTATATTGACAGAACCTCACCACGGTGAGAATTGGTGTGCCGTTTCGAAGGATATTAAAAATGTTGGGTTGAGTACTGAGCAAATCTTAAAACTCGTTGCAAAAGAATTGCCAATACCAGTGTAAAATAGATAAGTTCCCCAAAAAAAGTTGTAATTACATCATTAATATTGGATCTTTGTGTTTGATTTATTTTTTTTTGTAATTGTGATTATAGTTATTAAAAAGTAATTGACGTTTGTTTTAACAAATTCTTTTTCCAAAAAGTCATATGGCATAGGCCAACAACTGCTAATAGGTACAAATAACCTGTAACAAAAATTAGGAGGCACCCTAGTTGGGCGCCAATGTAGCTAGTAGAAGGATGTAGGAAATTTTAGATGGTGTCAATTGTGACCACTAAAAATCTCAAAAAACTTGATGAAGAAACTATCAGGACCCGTCTAAAGAGGCAAAATCAAGACCTTAACGCATAAGACTGGTTTTGATCTCTGTTCCACAGACTAAACAACAGTAAAGATAAAGGTTATAGAGGAAGGAGTTAGTTCTCAGATCAGCATACCTCCCATATGATGATCCCGAACAACCATTAAGGGAGGGAGTTGGGACACTTAGTGAGAGATTGCATGAAAAATGAACTGCAATTAATTATTGGCTATGATATGAATGCCTACCATCTGACCTGGGACAGTACAAATACCAAACTGTTAAAAAATGGCATGCTTTAGATGACGTGTCTTGTTCAGACCATCGAGACAGGCGATGAGCATATCAAGTAAACTTTTGGTTGAAAATTTTTTTAAAAATGTTTCGTATATTTTTGGGCAGGAAAACAGTATAATAAAAAGTTATGTGACGGTTTTTCGTAGTGCTCGAAGAAACCTATTTTTATTTCAAAGTTATAAAATTTTATTTACAAGTAATAAAAAAAAATAAATAGTTTGAATATTGTAAATATCGAAGCCACGTGTATTATGTGTTGCCTACATACCTTTTTGCAGTCTTACAATTTGACAGTTCTATTTATCGACATTCAACAATTTGAAAATTGTGAATCATTCGATGTTTCCCATGTTATAAGGCCTTCTTCAATGCTTTGAACATCTATTGTTATTATCATTCATAATCGTTTGTGGCGTCCATTGGTCGATGGCTTCCTTGAACAGCAGAATTGACAGTTGACAAATGGTTCCGGTCTTGGCTAATATTCAAGCTCGGTTGGTAATGTAGATTCAATGCTTACCGACAGTAACGTCAGAGTAGTTCAAATGTCTCGCCCAAGTGTCCTATATTCTGCTTGAAAACTGTATCTTTTGATGTTTCATATGTTGTAGCCTTCTTCTTCAATGCTTTGTACATCTATTATTATTATTATCCATAATCCTTTATGGTATCGGTTGACGGGACTTTGTTCCCATTGGTAGGTGGCTTCCTTGAAAAGAATAGGAATTGACAGTTAACAAATGTTTCCGGTCTTGGCTAAGGTTCGTGCTCGGCCGGAAATGCAGATTCAACCCTTACCGACAGTGATGTCAGAGTAGTTCAAATGTCCCGTCCTGTCTCGACCAAGCGTCCCATACTCTAGTGTATCTCAGTGTCATACGGAACGTTACTAAGAAGTTATTACACTTGATGGACATGCATTTGTTATCGGAGAGGAGTTTCTTCCTTTCCTCCTCCCAGCTTCAGTAATATTCCTTTATCTCTGGTCTGTCTGATCCTTTTTATACAGATGTCCTGTCTTTCTGCCAGGTTGCTTTTTTACTTTTGTCATTAGATCCAAAATAACTTTTCGTTGGTTTTGTTAATAATTTCCAGATTCCACCCCGACGTTTCGACTCCTGGTACTGCCGGCGTGTGGATCAACACATTTTCTCTACCTAGTTCTCCAGTATCCGGCACGTTTTCAGAAACTTCACCACATCGGGTTCTTCCTTCTTGTTTGGGAATTTTGAATTCATACTTCTTGTAGATACAAGTTACATCTATATGGACAACTCTCATGGCAGTTCCGCGAAGATGGCTTTCGTTTTTTCAATAGCTTTGCCTCATCGTTCTTGGTGACGAAGACTGCCGTGTCTCCCTCTTTCACTACGGTCCATGTGAAGACCTCCTCCGACCAGTCTTCATTTAGGAACTCTATTGTCTCCTTCCAGTTACGAACTCTATTTACCCTTCATTTAATGACTTTTAATAACTGCTTTGGAACCTCTTCTATTTTATTATTCTCCTCAACTTCGTCGATATATTCGAACATCTTATTTCACAGAATGTCGACCTACCTCTTTAGGGATGTCTTGTATTTGGCACCTTCTTTATGAGTTTCTAAGAGTATCGCTATACTATTCTGAACTTTGATCTTGCTTGCTAGTTGAGTGGCTGTAGTGCCAACGAACTGGTCGATTCTGTCATGGTCGATTTTCTGTTTTTGCCATTCATCTTCGGCGCTGCTTCATCTGCTCGATTCCTCTTCTTCCTTTCTTAGGTTTTTTTTCATTAGAACCTCCTATCTTATTTTATCTGTTCTATCCATCTGTCTGATATTTCATCGCTTTTTCTTTCTGCTCTCTCTTTTTTGGTTTCCTGTTTCTGTCTTTCTTCTCCCTTTTACGTTTGATCTTTCCTTTTGCTTTTACTTGTATTTTTTCTAGACCACATTTTTTCTTTTTCTTCCAGTTCTCTTCCCTCTAGTTTCATCCCTTTCTTTTTTCCCTTCTGCAATTTTTTTCCTTCTCATATTTCTTCCCACGAGTTTGAAATCTTCTTTTTCTCGTTTCACCAAACTCAGTTTTTCTCGTTCATTCATTTCTTAAAGTTCTTTCAATCTCTCGTCAAGTGTTTTACCTGTTGATGTGGTTTATTACAATTACATCGAAAATGTTGACAGTACAAAAATTAGGAAGACGAAAATCCATTCAATATAAATTTTTATTAGCGCTATTAAAAATAAATAACTATTAACAAAATATATATATATATTTAAATATTAAATATAATACTTCTCTAATACAATAATGTATCAATAAATATTAAAATTAAAGCTAAAAAAGGTTAAAACAGTTTCGCCGGCACAACATTCATATACAAAAAACACTTTCACACAAAGCTGCTAGATGACTGTTCCAGAAACATGGCCTGTTTCCTGTCAGTAGAAGGAATATCTTTGCTCTTGTAGAAACCGTTCACTTGACCCCAATTCTGCGGCTTAATGGGCACTACTTTGGGCTTGGGCGGTAATGGGGGCGGCTCGGTCCTATCGACCGAAGTGTTTGTACTTTTAGCGGGCGACGTCGGCGGCTGGACTCCTTCCGACTTACTAGGGGATGATTTAATATCGTATCTTGAATCTTGGTATTTATTGGCAACCAAAACGTTCCTGTTTTCGTAGTTCGACTGGAGCTCAAGTTTCATGTTTTTAGCTGACGATATGACGGGTAGTTTGTCGGGCGAGGCAGGTACTGAGGTTTCTCCTAGGTAAAATTTCGCCGTGCTTCCGTCCAAGTCGCTTCTTCTCTGCTTTTGGAGGTGCTCGTTTTCTTTGTCTTTGAGGAAATCCGGTAATTCGAAGTTGATCTCTGTGCCTCGCTGGTCCTCTATTCTACGCTGGGCTCTTGTCAAACCTTCCACCAGTTCTGAAACAAACAAAAAGAAATTGTAGATCTAATGAAAACATAAAAAGAGCAATAATATATTTTTTAATTGAATTGAGCTACGTGAAGAAACAAACAGTATAATGACAGAAAATATGAGGCGGCATATATACTATTTATGTTCCCTTCCAGAGTAAGGAGAAAATATAGATTATTAAAATAGCCATTCTAGTAAATAGGGAGAATATGAATTATCTTCCTCTATACTAATTCAGGAACTTTTCTAATGTGTTTCATCTAGTTTTCTAGGAATCAGTGACATTTTCGGTTTTATAATGTTGCTCCATAAAACTTTTAATGCTGAATCAGAATACAACATCAGGTTTCCCGCATCTGTTGCAGTTTTGAGGAATCAACAGACGCTTACGTAAGTGGCAAAGACTCGTCGTTCCAAAAATATTTCAAACTGGATACTCCTTGTATTGGTTTATCATCCACCCATAACCATCTATACTTCATCTAATTTACATACCGATGCACGTCAGAAATCGAAGTTGACATAGTTGCCAAAGTATAAAAAAATCCTGACTCCATTTTAAATCAAATAGATCACATAATTATTGCAAAAGTATTACCATCTCTTTACAACGACTATTTAAAGTCTTACGTGACATTTTTGAAATAAAACACACTAATTTTGTTCTAAAAAGAGATAGGTAAAAATATAAAACAAGAGGTATTCACTTTAAAATTCAAAATAATAAAGAACAAAAAGTGTCAACACCGCAACTGTCAAATAAGTGTTACCAATTTATGCCAAAATTTCACCTTCGTTCGATTAGAGTTACAGTGTGTTCCGAACAAATGTTTTTGATAAAAACGCTTTATAATGCATTTATACAAATTAAATGAAACATATTATTGTGTATTTCTTTAAGTTAACATTAATAGAAATTTTTAAATATTATTTCTACGCGTATATAATAAAATATGTCTAGTGGCTGTAATGCCAGTGTACTCGGCAAAGTGATTCTAAAAAAGAACACGCCTATCGCCTAAATATTTCGTGTTGGTATCATGTGACGTCACGTGCTATGACGCCGATGACGTGCATCGCTATCTAAATTAGATGAAGTGTAACTTGATATGGCGAGTGACTAAATACCACATATTTTGTTATAGGACAGTTAATGTTCGGTCCCATCTCTTGTCACATCGTGTCTATAGCACTTACGAAGTGTTGCTGTTCATTTAGGTCTTAACCGTATCATCTGCGTATCTAATTGTATTTTGAGTTTTCCTTTAATTTTTACACCATAGTCTAAGTTATGTTAAGGATTCTATCAGAATTTAGTTTACACAACATTGGGGACTCTATGTAATAGTCGGATGGACTCCTTTTAGGATCATAAATTCCTCTGACAACTTTCCATTACTGACAAAATCTGCTGTTTTAACATCAGTATCTCTTATTAACTTAATGCTATATGTTACAAAAAGTAAAAGCATATTTTCGTGTAACTGGACTGATACACAAAAATATTCCAAATAAAAATGAAAACCTAAACATTTTTAACGAGCTTAGAATAGTTTAACAGTTACCTACCATCACTTTCACTTGATGGCACCAGATTGAACTTGTTGGCACCACATTTCAATTTGGCAATTAGCGGTTTTTTCATTTGACTTTGATCGTTCATAGTTTCCTCTTTATACCTAGTCGGAATTTTCTTTTTTCTTTCGTGAATACCCGAATCTCTCCTCAGAAATTTTCCAATGAAAGTCGATGAGTGCTCTGAGCCCCAGTCTTCACTCTGAAAAATAAAATTAATTTTAATTCATCAGAAAATTTATAAAATAACTGTTTTAGATTCAGATGAAAAATGCGCTGTCCTTTATTATATAATCTATCCTAACCTATCAGGGAAGTATCCGGGGAACGACCTACGAATGAAGAAGTACTGAGAGTAATGAACACACGCCCTCATCAGGTCAATACTATCCAAATTAGAAAGACGTCATATCTAGGACACATAATGCGCCATAGTAAATTTGAGCACCTCCAGGTAATACTAGAAGGCAAGATTGAAGGTAAAAGGGGCATAGAAAGGAAGAAAAAATCTTGGCTACGAAACATCAGAGATTCGACCCACACAAGAGGAAATGAATTAATTCATCAAGCCCAGAACAGAGAGAAATTTGCCATATGGATCGCCAACCTCAACAGAGAGGCACTTAAGTATCTCTTGTTTTTAATCGCTTTCTACAAAAAATGTTTAATTCTGACTTTAGTGCTTTCTACATGCAAGAAGCATGCGCACTAAAGTCGTACGACTAACAGACCATCAAGGTCATCAAGCTTTTTAACTGACGCCTCTTTCGCGTAAGTATGTACATAACTGGAAATATCTCCATCTTCCAGAAGCAAAATTCTGTAATTTGTTTTATAGAGAGCGGCATATTATACACTAAAAAACATAAATAACTGTCTTTTCTCATTAACAGTTAGTCGTGGTTTACACTATGATCTAACATTTTATAATTGTGATTTGACGTTTCGATTTCCACTCCGTAAATCGCTCTCGCCATGGACCTACTAAGGCCCATGTAATTTTCTAAATTGACGGGCGACTTACTTTTCCACGATCTTGTAGGACTACTAGCGGCCTCTATCACACATCGCTATCACTCACTCTTACATACATCGCTTATAACACTTTCAAATTTCCTCAGATCTACTGAAATTGTGACGTCAGATCAGATACTTTACATGTACCTAATTGACGTCACAATTTCCTTAGGCTGGGCTCGGATTCTCCTAGTCTATTTACTCATAGACAAAAAGATACAAGCTATGGTGGAATTTCAAATGCAGCTTCATTTTGTTCAACTAACGGAACTTACACTTACAGGCGTAGAGAGTGTAGTCAGAATCCAAATTGACTTTTCAAGACCCTTCCATTGTAAAAATTGACCGAGACAGAGAGATGGACTGTCGTGTCTCTTATTTAACCTTGCACTAGAAAAAGTAATTCGAGAGTGCCATATTAATACGAACGGTACCATCTTTAATAAATCTGTAAAAGTTGTCGGATATGCAGATGACATAGGCATTATTGCTAAGAATAGTAAAACGCTGAGGCGAGCGTCACATCATACATGTATTATGTTTACAAAACCAATTAGTTAATCTGTCAATCAATTTTCGTTACTTGAAAGTTATAATTTTTTCAAAAATGATATAAAAAGGGTAATTTATTAGATTATTGTTCGATTTCTTGGGGTTAGTCCCGAACTCAATTAGATTAAGTTTGACTTAACTGTTTTAAATTTAATTCCTACATATGAATGATGATGTTTTCATCACTTTAATTACCTTGACTGATCCCCTATCGGATTTTGTCAGTTTGCAACTGAGCGATTCGCACTTCTCTTGCAGAATACCTTCATAAACTTTGTTTGTGATTTCCTCCAACTTTACTTTGTTAGTTTTGATCGGAACGTTGGGATTTTCTTGTCTGAAATCTAAAAATCGATAAAAAATTCCATTAGTGTTGTGTGATATGATATAGTTTATGTTGATTAGAAATTTATACGAAAGTATCATATTTTTGAGGTTTCTTGGAACTTCCGTTTCGATAAAACCAGAAAACCACATTAGAAACCATATATACAGGAAAATATATTTTCTAGATAACTTGCCGTAACTTTATAGTTTTCTTTAAAGTATGATAAAGACAATGTCACTTAACTCATTTACTTTTTATTAAAAACAAAATTTGTATTTTTTCTTTACCAAACTTAACTGAACTCAGTACCAACTGTCTAGTAAATTGAGTTATTACAACTAAACTAACAAGAAAAGGATAACATAAAAGATAATGTAGCAGATGATTTAGAAATAGGGAAATAGTAGTAATGTAGATTTAATAGAAGAGAGAATTCGAAGAATAGACAGATTAATCTATAAAATATTTAATTCATGGCTTTAATTATGTATGGAAGGAAGCCAGCAAGTAATACTTGACAAGATGGCCATTTTGCATTGATTAAAAAGTAGAAACTGCTTGGTTGTGGCTGAACTTTTTACCATTTGAAATTGAAGTTACACTAGCAATATTGTATAATTCGCTTTTGTTATATTTTCAATTTTATTTCCTTCTTCATATTTACATAAAATCAATTCTTGGAACATGGAACTAAAAAGTATTATTTATTATCTCAGAAATTTAGTGCTAAATATCAGCTCAAAGATTGTTAGGTTTTGTTTTGACAATGACAGCTGACAGTTGACTTTTATTCTGTCTAACATTACTACAATGCCATAATGTCTTTCTACTAAGGTTTATCAAAAATGTAAATGTTTCATTACTGATGCTAGCCAAAATTTTATGAAAGAAGAACGAAAACACCTAATTTTCCCTTATTACATATAAGTGTCTTACTGAAAACTACTGTGGAATTTCGTCACTAGGAAAATAAAAGTCGACATAAAAAGAAGCATGATTTTTAATAACTTTTTTAGTCTAAATCAAGCTTCTCTTTTAATTTCACTATGATTACTTCAATTATACACATTTTCATAGTAAAAATTTCTTACCTTCTTTAAACTGCACTTTTAGCCTAAACCCATCTATGGTAGTCACCGGCTGATGTAAATCTATCGGAGTATTTCCATTCAGAACAACCATCTGGTCCAGATTGTATTGGTATTTGTGCAAACTTGGCCTTAGCACATCGGTGATGATTTTTGTGTATTTGGACCTGATGCTGATCATTTTCCTATTCGGCAGGTCGAGTTTAAAGACCACTCGCTGTTCGACGGTCACTTCGCATCCCGCCAACGTCATTGATGAGTCTTCTACGTTAACACACTAGAAAAATATAAACATTGAAAAACTAAAACTATATCATGATAGGCATTTTTTATTTAGCGAAGAAGTCAATTTTGGGAAATTCTACTGAACACAAATTTATACACCCGAATTTCGGTTGTATAGTTAATAAATATTAAAGACGAATTGCCTGTGTTCGATAATACCTAGATCATGTTAAAATTATAGACTTTGTAACGATACTAATGTACAGTAAATTTTTCTCACTCTAATATCAGAGTCCAGTGAGCAATAACTGGTTCACAATATGGCGAGGTAAGCCTGCGTAGAGTGGTTAGAAAATAAAGTCGGTTATAGGCAAGAAGGGATTAACTTGGTAAAATTAAAGTAGCTTTCGTCTTATTCCTATATGAAAAGTTTCCTGCGAGATGCTGGGCAGTTAATTTGGTGCTCCCATCTTTTCATAATACTACTCTTTAGGATTTATAAATTTCTTAATGTATTTCTTCTCTAAATCGTTATATTCAACTTTTCCTATCTTGCTATCATCTATCTTGTAGGCTTCTTCTTTCTATTACCTAGTCTACTTCATCTCTAATATCCAGCGTCATAAGTCTGCTCTTCTGACAATCGTTTAACAGAGTTCGCTTGCATTTCTTGCACTTGTTTGGCTTTATTTTTCTTATTTAACTTTCATTTTCAGATCCTTACATCAGCATAATCCATGTTATCGTTTTGTATATTCACATTTTTGATGTTTACTTTTTCTGTTAGTCTATGTTTAATTACCCTTAAACTCTGCGTTGCCAAGTTGTGTCTTTATTCATTAGATCTCATATAAAAAGGAACTGGCTAAGCAAAAGCTGTATATCTGTTAAGACAACATTACAAATCTTTTTCCAGGGATAATTATGTATCAATCTGATCTTATTCTACAAACATTTTTATATAATGATTCTCATTAAGTTATATGATAAGTTTGATATTGCCATTTATTAATTCTGTAGTACTTTGTGTAAGAATTGTAAACACTTACCTTCAAATGCTTGTCAGCATACACCTCAAAGGAAGAATACTTCAGACCTCTTTTCTCCAATAATCTCGTCACTAAACCTTGAATGGTTTCAGATTGTTTGATTTGGACGACGGTGGTACTTCCGTTGCTCAGAAGAACTCTACACAATGCCGTTCTAGCTACATTTGAAGACAACTCTTCTTGACTAGCTTGTGCTTTTATCAGATCCTAGAAGGAAAGATAACAATTTTATTAGGTAAGATAAAATAACACTGTTGTAAAATATGTATATCAGACAAACACGGGAATTTGTTAAAAAAAAGAAGGCAGTGCAAGTCGTTTTTGTTAAATTAATAATTACCTGAGATGATACAGCAATATCCAATGACGTTAGGGAAGATCCGCTGGAATGTACCTCAGATGGGTCTGTATTCTTCAAATCCCCGGAGTTTAGATCACTACCTCGTTTATTGTACTCACTCTCTCCCCGATCTTTGGATTTTGATCGGTTTTTCCTGTGCCATGGCAAAAGCGATTTCCTTCTTCTGTCTTCGGCATTACTGACTGACTTCTTCAGCTTTGTAGGTGTCGATATTGGTTGCAGAATAAGCCTAAAAATGGATAAGTGTGTGAAAACTTCGTATATCCTAAATTTAGAAAGGGGAAAGGACCAAAATGCAAGTACAATTTTTTAACAACACAGTGCGAAATAGATTACTACAAACGGTTAATTTTAAAAAAGAAGCACACTCACCTAACATCTACCTGAATTTTGTCCTCTTCCCCGGACAAACACTTCCTATAGATATCCGATCGCAGGAATCTCGGATAACTGTCGAACTTCATCAAATTGAAGATCTGTTTTTGCGCCTGCGCAAATAAATCCAGATCGGCCGAATGCAGATTCCTCTCGACGCTTTGACGCGCCTGCGCGTCCACATTAACCGCTTCTGTTGCTCCTCCGCACAAATGCTGACGGTATATTCTTTGGGCTTCATTTCTTCTGTCATTTTCTGAGGGTAATACTTTGAAACGTTCGCAGGCTATCCAGAAGTAGATGTTTTCTGCGCTGAATTCTTTCTTTAGGAATTCCTGCAATAAAAATGCCTCAATCAGTATTGCTGAACAAATTAATATCATAACTGTTGAATTCTATATGAACATAGCATATCCAATGACATACAAAGGATCGAAAAATATCATAATTATTAAGATAAACATATTTTTCAAAGGTTTTTTTAAACTAAATTAAATCAACGGTGATGGATTCGACTGTCACTTAATGGAAGTTTATATCATTTAACAATAAAACACTAAAAACTTTTATTTTCAACACTTCCACGGCACGCTTTACAATCTTACATGTAGCGACTGTCCAAAAACTTACATCGGCCAAACGGGTAGAACTTTTACCAAACGAATAGTAGAACACAAAAAACTTTTAATAATAGAAAAACAGATTCCACGTACACTTTCTAGATCATAATCATTATTTTAATAAACAATTTTAAATTAAAGGCCCTAAGCTATCTTTATTAGAATATATGGAAATTAATAAATTAAAAAATACAAATATAATTCTGAATGGCCAAATTTAGACAAACAGCTCACTCCTCCTGAACTTATTCAGTGAGGCTATAAAGTGTAGACTCATAGTAAAGATACATCACTTGAGAAAAACCGAAACACCCTGTCGAAACCGCTGTAGTGATAATAAACTATAATAAATGATGTGGAAGTGTTAAAAACAAAAGTTTTCAGTGTTTTATTGTTAAATAAATCAACGGTGTTCAATCAACACAGAGCTAAAAACAAAACTTACGGAATGTTGTCCTATACAGGCTTGAAAGATAATGGCCAGTATCTGTATTCGCACAAATGATGCCCAATATTTTTACTGGATTGCAGAGAAGAAATAACTTACATTTAAACCGACAAAACCGACATTTTCAATAAATATTATGGTTTTTCGAAACCAATTCGCTAAGGATTTTTGCTTAGTTGAGGAAATATGACGTGGAATGCAAATTTTATATTCCCCATGTCACTAATAACATCTTTATCAACGTCTGTTTTATCTTGCAATTCTTAGAAGGCACAGATTAAAGCAAAAATTTGAATTTGGTTTCGAAAATTAGTTTACGGATTTTATTATGGTTTTATTTCAAGTTTATTAATTAACAAATTATTCTTGTTCAGTTACAGTTTCTCGTTTAGTTTTTCTTTCAGTCTGTCAACTACTGGTGTTGTTTCGAAGAGCCTTAAAGAAAATATCCAACGCCTAGTCTTGGCCAACATCTTTGGTAAGACAATACAAAAAAGCAGTACTGCTTGTGACGTCCAGATGCGCCAGAATTTTTTTTGAAATACTCCATCATACCAAGTCACCTAGGACTTGATAACAAGAAAACAGCCCCACAAAGCTCAATTCTTTTGATACTCTACATCTCTAGAATTAGTGTCTCTCCGCTTTTTGCAATATCTAATGATTGTAATAGTTACTACAACAATTTTACAAGGTTGTGTAAATAATAAAGCATGTTGTTTTATAAAATAGTAATAAAATGCATGTATCAATAAAGTAAGGTTAGAATTTTTTCAATTTAGACTTTTAAACTATATTTCATAGAAATAGAACACTGAATTATGATGGTATTATCGTAAAAAACACTATACTTAAAAGAAAAATCAGCAGAGGAAGCAAAATTTTAGCTTTATAGAAATTAAAAAGTCTTAAGATTGAGCATTTCAACTTTTGTTTGGAAAGTAATAATAATATCCCCGCCGTGACGTCACACTCCGACTGTCTATTGTACATAAGTTGGGTTGTGTTATAAATTTCTTGCATGGAGAACTCAGAAATATTTAATTGGTGTGAAATTGAAGAGGAAGAACAAGAAATTCAAAAGAAGATAAGAATGGCGGACGCAGCATTTGTTTATATTAATAACGATATATAAATTCCAATGTTACTACCGGTGTCATTGAGTCAGTTTTTGTAGTGAGAAAACGATAATCCTTTTTCTATAACACGAATAATTAGTTATAATTTTCATGGTAATTCGTTTAATATTATCTGTATCAATAGACGTTTCCTGAGTACCTTCCATTGCTATCAACACACATTAATTATCACGATCGGCAGAGGAAATACAAAGTTTTGAAAATATGCAACAAAGTTGATATGATAATAAAATATGGTTTTGGTTTGTCGGAAAAAAATATAAAATTTTTATGTTTATACTTTTTTAATAACCAAGTTCTGAAATCATTGATGAATATGCGATGTATTATCGCAGAATTCTTCCAAATTCACTTGTGTATAATTCACGTGTATATACCCGAATTTAAAACCACATTTTTAATCAAATTCTGAAACCCAAATCGTTTTTCGGTTTTCTTAAATATCAGTATCAAGTTCCGGAACTTCTAAAATAATCAATTGGGTTAAAGAAACAAACTCTTGTCAAAGTCTGTAATTTTTAACATAATTTTTTTAATAATGTAAATATTTAAAATATCGTATGTAATTTTTTTTCATCTGGCACAATTCTGTTTAATGTAAACAATGTGTATTCGACGCAAAAAATTACATTTACGAATTATTCTCAGCACCAAACTGAAGAACATTTTTAAATTCCTTTTTTAGTAATGCAGATCAATATATGGAACTGTTATGTTATCATTATTTGAATTATAGTACCAGATCCCACTGCAAAATCACTACTAGTTAATCATTTACATTTGTACATACATTTAAGAATAGGAGAATAACCGGTTATCAGTCAAAAAGTGGCTGCAAATAGTTTTAATTCAATAAGGGTAGTTCATTTTTAAACAAACATTTCGTTCATTTATTTTTTAAATAAAATACGTTGCTCATGATGTATATGCATGCTTTTTATATCAAATTAAAGCTAATTTTTACTAATATAATGATATAAGGATGCCTGAGAAAAAATGATAGCAAATTAGGGTTGCCATCTGTTAAAAACGCGAGATATAAAAGATAAAGTGAAAGATAACTAACCCACAACGCTACTGGCTTGATAAGGATGGCAAGCTTTGATTATTTTGACCAATTTTTGAAGCCCGTTATACTGTAATTACGTTGATTAAAACAAAGTTTGCAATTTGGAAAACAGAAAAATCGTATTTTTAATTAACTGTATATAATATGTACTTATAATAATAACACTAACCATCGACAAATGCGTAATGGCTTTAAAAACTCACACAACTGACACTCGCCATGTCAAAACAGTTCATCCTTTGAAACGATAACCTAACAATTCTAGTTGAATTTCGAGTTTAGTGCAAAACAAAGATTTCCAAATTAATGAAGAGCCGTGAAATGTTCAGCATTTAGAATGGTATGTGGTAAGCGTTGTGTGTCTAGTCCACAAAGGCTGTAGGTGTCCCAGACAATCGAGTATGACATAGTTTCCACAAAGAGCTCAGTATGAGGAATGGTTGTGAAATATGCGTGCCGCTTTTGCTGGATGTTGACCACAAAGGAACGAGGAACATATTTGCCATGTTTGTGATATCTCTTTACATCTAAATCAAAGTAATAGTTCATAAAAGAGAAGTCTGTGACCCTACAGCAGCGAAATTATTGACAGTTTAACCACCTAGATATGTTTGACGAGTGTATTTTGTATACCAAGTATATTTTTATCAAAGCATCACAGTATTGATGCAACATACTACACATACTTTTTGATCAGACAAATCACACAAATCAGACAGAAAAGATACGATTTGTGCATCGACTATTAAAAAACTTGACTGGAAAAAGTTTTCGATTAAAAAAATGTGATAGCATGGGCAAATAGATACTTAGAAGGCTTTTAGAATGGCATTTCAAGGACGGAATTGTAAGTAATGTAGGACACAGTTTGTTGACCCAAAGGTAGACTATATTAATAAATAAATTAACCTTTACATATAGGATGAAAGATTGAATTATGTACTTACATATATGTGAGTACATAAAAATCCTTTTAAGACAACAAATTAAAGTGTTAATAAATGCTGTTCACGAGAATAATAATAAATTAACAGAATTATTGCTTATATGGAAACGTATGTAATTACATTGATCTATTAACACTATAGATTGATTTTATGGGTGCGCGATGGTATGAAATGCAAAACAATATTATTAGTGAACATAAATCAAATTCTACAAGTAACGACCTTCCCATGTGTTCAGAAAAATAGCTATCACAGTTATAAATACAAGTTCAGCGTTCATTACGAAAGGTTCACTTTTAGTTTATGATTTATTAGTTCAAACTGTTATGATATAAAAAAAAAGGAAACACGCCCCTTAGACTTGAAACCATCGAGTGACATTTGATTCGGAAACTGAATACATGTCAAATTTTATTTCCTTGTTTGTATGTTTTTTTTTGTACACTACGCCAAGAAATTAACGCACCAATTTAACTGAAATAAAAAGCATTTTATATTAAAAATATATAAAAAGCATTTTATTTCGTATTACTTTAGTTTGTAAAACAAACATATTTAGTGATGTTGTTGCTAACCATCTTCAATATTCATAAACCTAACACAATCTTAAAATAATTAACAACAAAATCTCTAATTCTAAAAATAGAAATTGTTCAAATTTCTCGATTCGCATTGCATTTTGATTAAAACAATAGCAAAATGTTACCACTAAACAACACAACGACTGAAAAATGACACTAACCTCTTATCGACATTAACAAATTTACAGCACCTTTGTTTTGTGTTCCATAGAAACCGGTTGAAACAAAAAAACAATACAAGTAACCCGATAAAAACATTCCAAATACGTATATTCTCTACAAAAATGAAGACAATTAAATTTAAAACACAAATGAATCGCTTTTTTTGTTTTTGTAAATGGTGCGTTAATTTCTTGGAGTATTGTAGTTAAATTCCAATACTTATTTCTACTACCATCCCATTGAATACCATTATCTTGCGAACTTTTTTATTATAATGTATAATAGTATTTTATAATAAGTGTTTACGTCAATAGATGACGTTTCTCGGAAATCAATCAATAAGGTAAATATTTGACAAATAAACTCGTA